CCGATTTGTGGGTGTCCATCAGAGAATTTTGATCGGGTTGATCCGGAGGATAGTAGGAAGGGATGTAAGAGGAAGGTGGAGATTAGCAGTTGTTCTGGGAGAGAGACAATGTTGCAACTGGATCATGTCAAGTTCTTGACATACCCTCCAGAGGTGGCTTCTCAGGTTTTTTTGTACATTAGTATGTCTGCCTGTAGGTTCAATTGCCTTGCGAGTGGTTCTTGTGTTGCTTCAACTTCTTTCTCTGATGGGACAAACATGTGCTATTTGAAACTGCCAGATTTTGTTAGCGGGTACCAGTCGCCCGCACTTCCTAGTACTTCATATATAAAGGTCTGTAGTCCGGGAATGCTGAATCCATCAGCCTCTTCAATTGGAATAGAAAAGGACAATGGTTGGAAATTGAGTGGGCGGATACTTCCAATTGCTGTTATCGGTACCATTTTGGGCGTGGTCGTGTTGCAAGGTGGTTTGTGGTGGTGGTGCCGTAGAAATAATCCCACATTTGGGGGATTCTCTGCTCGATATGAACCACTTGAATATGCCTCTGGTGCGCCCGTCCAGTTCTCATATAAGGAGATTCAACGGGCAACAAAGGGTTCTGTGACAAGCTTGGAGAGGGGGGACATGGGGCTGTTTACAGAGGGATTCTTCCTAATGGAAATGTTGCTGCAGTGAAGCAATTGGAGGATATCGAGCTGGGGGAGAAAAATTTTAAATTGGTTATTGCAACCATAATTAGCACCCACCATTTGAATTTGGTGAGAGTGATCGGGTTTTGTTCTGAACGGCATCACAGGTTTTTAGTATATGAACTTGTGAAAAATGGTTCTCTTTATAACTTTATTTTTATGTCGAACGAGTGGGCAGGAAAAGTTCTGAATTGGCAATATCGTTTTAATATTGCTCTAGGGACTGCAAGGGGGATTGCGTACCTTCATGAGGAGTGTCGCGACTGCATTATCCATGGAAGTATAAAGCCAGAGAACATTCTCTTGGATGAGAATTATAATGCTAAAGTCTCTGATTTTGGACTTGCAAAACTCACAAACCCAAATGACGATAAATGCGGAACCTTGAGGAGTGTGAGGGGGACTAGAGAACATGTTGCCCCAGAATGCCCCGCAGATCTTCCAATAACTTCAAAATCTGATGTGTACAGTTATGGGATGGTACTGTTGGAGATAGTGAGTGGGAGACGGAATTCTGAAGTTTCTGCACAGGCAAATTGGGAAAAACTTTCCCTGTGGGCTTATCAAGAGTATCAGAAAGGTAATCTTGAGGCAATTGTTGATCAAAGGCTTCTCAGACATGAGCTGGACATGGAGCAAGTGATGAGATCAATTCGGCTAAGCTTTTGGTGTACCCAAGAGCAATCGTCTGAGAGGCCGATGATGGGAAAGGTGGTGCAGATGTTAGAAGGGATCATTGAGATTGATGAACCACCGGCGCCAAAGGCAGCACTAGAACGGTCTGTTAGCGGAAGTAGCAGAACCTCCAGTAATGTCAATGTTCTCTCCACCTCCAGAGTTTCAGCCCCTGCTTTCTCTTCATCATCGTCATCCCATGCCAACAGGGCATCTTCTTGATTTTACAGCCATAGAAGTGATCATCTATTAAGCTGCACCGAAAGAGTCTACCAGATGAACCAGCAAAAAATGATGTTAGGATGCGGCCCATCATCTTCGAATATCAACTAGTCTATAAGATGTGAAATAAACAAAAGGTTACAGGTCCAGTATTCCGTGTCAAGAGATGACACTATGATGTTTAAGTTAGTATGGTGATCATTATACATAAGTTTGGATCAAGAGTGTGTGATACCAATGGGTTTGAGTGTACCACAGAGAGCTAAGAGCTAAGAGCTCGCTCTCCCCTAGGGGTTTCTCCCCTATTTTATACTAGATGTATGCACATCTGATTTGTCTATGTTACAGCATGATTTGCAGGTGAAGTATGTTGTTTTGGTCGACTCATTTATCATGTGGATTTGGTGGGTCAAAAAACTTAAAATATAAAATTATAAAAACATTCGATACATGGATAGTTTGCCAGTTTGAAGACATCAAAGGATTGCAATGCACTACAAGAAAACAAGACTTTTGAGTCAATATTTTTTTTATCGACTAAATGCCGCAACAAATATTCAATTTTTGACTTCAGCACTATTTGTCGAAGTAAAAAAATTAAGTATTTGCTTCGGCAAGAGTGTCGATGCAAAAATAGATAGTATTTGCATTGACAAGCCCAATGTAAAAAAGATTGAGTCAAAGAAGAACACCTAGAATGCAGAGACAGAGAAATTTAGGACATTGGTTGGCTTGTTCATGCAAAATTTCTTTAAGAGCCACGATAGTCGGGCATTCCTTTGTAGAATGCCCTAGTATTTTACGTATGGAACACGTCCCTCAACCTTAATTACACTAGCCACCTCATTCACTTTTTTCACTTCCAAATTTTCATCCTTGTGGGATAATTACGCAATCTTGGCAAGTAATTCATCTTGGTCCCGTAAAACATACTTTTCACCCCCAATAGGTTGGGATGCAATAGATGACTTTGATCTTTCGGTAGAATAAAAAAAATTCAAAGATCAAGCATCCTCTGTCAAGTTATCAAAATAATCTAAGGATTCCTTAAGATCCTTATTAAGAAATTTGGCATTACATATCATGTATATGAATTGGCGATGTGTAGGAGTAATTCCTTCGTATAAGAACTTAACTAATTACCATAGTTCAAATCCAAGATGTTGAATAGAGTTTAAAAGATCCTTAAATCTTTCCCAGCAGTCATAGAACTATTCAATTTCTCTTTCTGAATTTGTTTCTTCAAAACAGTAGTTCTATGTACTGGAAAAAATTCCTTTAAAAATTCTTTTTGAATATCAAATCATGAAGATATTGTTTGAGGGTTCAAAAAATTAAACCAAGATTTTGTTTTATCCTTAAGGAAAAAGGGAAACAACTTCATCCTAGCAATTTCCTCTCACACATTTTGATTGAGAAATGTACTAACTACTTCCTCAAATTCCTCGATAGGGTTTTCTCTATCTACTCTATCTACACCCTGAAATTGAGGGAATAATTGGAGCATACCCAACTTAACTATGAATGTATGTGCTTGCACGGGCAAAAGTATGCAAATATGGTGCATCGTGTGGGTTGGAGATAATCTCTCAACATTCACACGGGAGGAACAATTGGGAGATTCTTGTCACCATTCCTCAGATTTTGTGGGTTGTCATTATTTATCTCGTCACGTTCATGTTTGGTATTTGGTCAAGTTTAACAAGTCTATTATTCGTATTATCGTGTACCCACATGAAAAACTATGATCCTATAAGTAAAAGAAAATTTCTAAAGTAATTTACAATGGAAAAATGTACTTGGGCCTATGATGAAAATTATAAGACGAAAAATTTGGAAGTCGATATAAAAATTTAGACTTAATTGAGTTAAACTATATTAAGAAAACTTATTTGATTTTAAATGTATTTTTTTTTTTGAAAAAAGACTAAAAGATCATTTATTACTCCATTACTCTCCCTCAAGTACTCTCTCGCTCTCTCTTCCTTTTTTCTCTCTATCTCTCTCTCTCTCTCTCTCTCTCTCTCTCTCTCTCTCCCCATTACTCTATCTATTTATCCCCTATTTCCTCTCTCTCTCTCTCACAGTTTCCCCTCATTTATAATTTATTTTCTTTTCATATATGTAAATATTTTATTTGAATATTTTATCTCTCTCTCCCAATTTTCTCTCTCTCTGTCTCTCTCTCACTCTCTCTTTCAGTCTCTCTCTCCCCTTATTTTTTCTCAATGTTACTATTTCTCTCTTTATTCTCTCTCTTTTCTTATATCAATGATACAACAACACAATTACACCAATTGGATACAATTACGCTATAATACATCAAACAATTACTCGTGTGTTCTAATAAACTAAACAGTAACATCAAACAATTACATAAAAAATTACAACACCAACTCAATTCATCATTCAATTGTTTACATAAATTAAAATTTTATATTATTTAGTATCACAACATGATTACACTAATTATAAACGCCAAAATGGGTTTATCATTACACAAAAGAGTTTATCATTACACTAAATTTAGTGTATATAATTAGTGCAACCATGTCGTGATACTAAATAGTTTAATTATTTGGTTTATCTAAACAACTGAATGACAAATTGAGTTGATATCGTAATTTTGTGTGATTATTTGGTGTACTATTTGTTTATCATAACACATGAGTAACTGTTTGATGTATAAGACAATTGTAACTGATTGGTGTAACGTTGATATAAATAAAGAGAATAAGGAGAGAGGGTAACAGTGAGAGAACATAGGGGGAGAGAGAGAAAATAGGGGTGAGAAAGAGAGACAAAAAAATCAAATTAAATATTTAAATTTTGAAAAGAAAATAAATTATCAATGAGAGAGAGAGAAAAAAATAGTGGAGAGAGTGAGAGAGTAATGGAAGGAGAGATAGAGAAAAAATAGGGAAGGGAGAGTGAGAGAGTAATGGAGAGAGAGAGAGAGTGAAAGAATAATAATTATGCATAATTTAAGGAATGGTAAGCTAGTAAAAAAATTTAAATGTCATTTGAATTTTGTATCTAATTAAAAAATATTTTTATTAAAATTGAACTTAATAGAGTAAAATATTTATCCATACACTTTCTTTCAAATATGTCTAAAAAAATATACCTGCACCCAAAAAACTCTTATAAGACTTACCTGTCGTTGATTCAAATCACTTTTCAAATTCATACCGCTTGCTTCCCACTAGCAACAACATCAAAAATACTTGTCCTCTAATATAGTTATGTCTAAAATTGTTTCCCAAGCGTAGAAAATTCGATCATATAGTAATTCGAAAAATACGGAGGTCGTCTCCATAGGGAAACAAGGACAAATTCGAATGCTAATATGATCTAAACAAAAATAAAATCTTTTAGTTTTCAAAGACAATGATGATTGGCAAGACTAAGAAACAATATTTAAATAAACCAACTAATTGTGAGATTTCATCCCATCATGAATAGGAATAGAATTTTAACCTGATTTATAACTCATCCATGATTGTAATCAAACTTACTCAGATTGAAAATATTCAACTAAAATCAAAATTTAGAAAACATGTATTTTGATGAAAAAATTAATTAATGAAAGAATTGGTATCATGTTGACTGTAGGGAATCCAAGAACTACCAGACCAATTCAATTGTCTACGTTAATCAAAGATGTTTACAAATTAGTCATGTGTTCAAAATTAATTATTTCAATCAACAAAATAACTCTAAGCATTGATATCTCGTTAAGGTCAAACATTCATGGATGAGAATCTCTTCTCTAATTATGCTGGAATTAAACTACTCATACAAATTGCGTGTAGAATTAAAAGCAATTAAGAAAGACTTATCAATTTGAATGAAAAAAAAAATTATATTAAAAACAGAATTAAATCCAAACAAAAACGAAAGATTAATGCAAAAACTAGAAATCAAAAGTACTTTTGTATTTAAACTAAAGAAGAAGGAAAAAAGATAAAACTAATCTATACTTTGTGAAGAAAAACCCTAGAAGAAACCGTAAAAGAAGATGTTTTGGATTCTCCCATGTTTCGGTTTTTAAAGAAGAAGAAGGGGCTCATGATAGAAATCCTCTCCTTCCTTCTTTATGTCTCTCTCATTCCTGAAAAATCTCTGAAAATACCTCTGATATTTGGCCAATTAAAATTCCAAAATAAAAATCCCATTTTCTCGTTTTTCTCACTTGTACCGATAGAAAAATACAGACGAATAGGTACAAGTCTTCTCTGCTAGCCGATGAATTGGTAGAGAAAGCAGGAAAAATGATCCGATAGAAAACTTTCTGTTTAGAAATGAAATAGTACATTTATGTTGCACAAGGACAAACTATATATGCTGCCCGGTGAACCGGTATAACTTCTACCAGTACAACTGTTGTTTTTATGTTTTTTTGCTGCAATGCTCTTGATTCAAGTCCACTTGTTTTAGTTTTTTTTTTAAAATTCCCCAAAAGCATTCAAATGAGTGTAAAGCATCATATTTACACCGGATTGCCTGTAAACACACGGTTTCCTCATAAATCACAAACTCAACTAAAATGAAACATATAATTAACGAGCAAAACTAAAGTGATTGTTGTGAGACATAAAATTATGCAAAATTGTATACTCAACATATTTCATAATAAGAGTATGAATGATAATAATGGAGAATACCTCTTTATTACTTCAATTGTTTCTACCCTAAAGCTTATATTAGAAAAACTTTCTGCTTTCTCCTCTAGGTTGTATTGTACATAAGAACAATTGAATTAAATAATGTGATGAGCTAAAAACTCTCTAATCCAAAGACTTTTATACTTTGGAATGACCGACTTGGTCACTTTAGGTCAATAATGATGCATCAAATCATCAACAACTCATATGGACATCCGGTAAAAAAATCAAGAGATTGTTTTTTCTATTGATAACCCATGTACTGCTTGTTCACAAGAAAAATTTATTATTAGATCATCTCCCACAAAAATCAATGTTGAATCCCAACCTTTTTGCAAAGAATTCAAGG